TATTATAAGCGGAGCGAGGTCGCCCTGCCTCACACTCTCTTACCCCTCTCGCTTTTCCCTGTTTCTGATCCTCTCCTCCCAGTCAACCTTGTGGAAACAAGTGCCGTAAAGAGTAGGGAAGGAGGACTGATTCTAGTTTTGTTGCAAAGTAATGGTTGCTACTTGAAAACTGCGGGCTACGCTGCACCCATTTTGCAGATGAAGATTCCCTAACCCTGCACAAGTAGTTTCCTGAGTGTTCCAAAGTTGAGGTATTTGCCCGGTCATTGTTTTTCAATTGTCAGTAAAGCCCCCTTGGAATAAAGGAAAGTGTATACCAGTGGTTCTCAACCTTCCGACTGCTGCAACCCGTTAAATACAGTTCCTCATGTTGTGGTGACCCCAACCATAAAATTATTTTTGTTGCTACATCATAACTGTAATTTTGCTATTGTTACAAGTCGTCATATAAATATCTGATATGCAGAATATCAGAGAAGGTTTACGGATCTGCTCTGACGCCCCTTTAACAGGTGGTGCCTTTGACTACCTTGCTGCATTTCCTACCCAAAGAGCCTGGCACCCCTTGCAACCTGTGAGCAAGCTGACCAACAGTCACACTCTGCTCTTGGCCACAGGTCCCAGAAGCCGGAATCAGCTGAGCTGCAAGACAACTCTGAACTCGCAGCAACAATCCCACCGAGGTCCCCAGAAGGCCTGAGCTGGATGGGTCCCTGCGTCCGTCCGCATTTCCCTCTGCAGAGCAAGAGGACACAGCTGTGAATAGTAAAGGAAAATGATGTGTAATGCCTTTCAAAAGAGAAAGTACTGTGCAAGTGCAAGCATTCTGCTGTGTTTTAAGGCTTGCTTTAGACTACATCCTATTAACTAAATGGCTTTTCAATATGCCTCCCATTGTCTGAGGAGAAATCTGTTTCTACAACCTCTCTTATTTAATGTTTCAAAACCAGTTATGAGTGATGAGTTATATGAGTTACGCTCTCCCTTACAGTAGATTACGTTTACAAGTATTCTGTCTTTCTATATGAGTTACGCTCTCCCTTACAATAGATTATGTTTACAAGTATTCTGTCTTCCCTTTCAAGTCCCATTTTGACAGGAAATTTCTCTGTATTTTCTCCCTTGGTTTTTTTGGTTTTTTGTGTTTTTTTTTTTTTTCTGGTATAAAGTTTCCAAGGTCTTTATTATAGGAGGGAAACTTAGAAGTAGAAAAGAAGTTTGTGCTATGAAGTCAAAACACAATTGTGGCCATCCTGAGAGACAGACAGGAAATTTGGAGGATGCAAGAAAAAAAAAAAAAACTCATTCCAGAGCATTAGCATCAGTCCTTAGGCAGCAGAGGCAGGCAGATCTCTGTGAGTTTGAGGCCAACCTGGCTGCATAGGGCTACACAATGGAACTGTTTAAAAAAAAAAAAAAAGAGAGAGAGAAAGAAAGATAGAAAGAAAGAAAAAGAAAAAAAGCCTGTCAACACATACATATTTTATGTTAAAGTAGCGACAACCCAAACTTAAGGCCTGAGTATATACATCCTTGGACAGGCTGTCATTCCTTTTTCCAGACATTGCCAGAGAATCTCAAGCAAAACTGCTCACAGTAAAGATATCTAGCATCCCTGGGGGCGGAACTTTTCCTCATAGACTGTAACACCACCAAGTACCCCCAGGATCACCCAGTGATAAGATACTAACTTCAAATTCCTATATGACTGTTGTCTAAAACAGCATGCTGGGGCTGCCTCTGAGCAGCCCACACACTAGCTCTCAGCATGCTGCAGTTCTGAACACTCTCTCCTGACCCTCATGCTTAAGTTTACATTACAATATCATTGATAAAACCACCACTCTCTTCATAGCTGTTCAGTCCTGGAATTCTTTTAACTGTCAAAGCCATGAATCCTGGGTCAGCCTGAGCCAAGGTCCCTAGAACTCTGGGAAATTCTCAAGTTGCTGGGGTGTGGGGACAGGTCAATAGGGAGCCATATCTCCTCTGTTCCTGTCCCCAGATGCTGACAACACAACATTGATATGCCAAGAGCAACTTGCTTGCTGAATAAATGCACCACTCACAAACTTGGTTCTGCTGGGGCACACAAGATTTCTCTCCTTAGGTTTGCAAAATGTTGGACCAGATTTTTTATGACTCAAATTATTTAACTCGGCGGGTATGCAAAGATTAATACATCAGTTTTATAACCTTATGACAAAATAAATTATTGATCATAAATAACTCCTGCCAGTTGTGGTGGCATATGCCTTTAATCCTAGCATTCTGGAGGCAGGGGCAGGCAGATCTCTCTAAGTTTTGGCCAACCTTTCTACATAGCAATTTCCAGGACAGCCAGGGCTCCACAGACCAACCCTGTCTCAAAAAAGAAATAAAATAATAACAACTAAAGCTCCCTTTGAACTGTTTTTCTGGACTTTAACCTCTTCAGTTGCAGCTCTGAGCTCATTTATATCCGTGGATTTAATGATTTAAACATGAGATAGCAATATGAACAAATGTCATTTACTAAGCTTCTAACCAATAAAAAATGTGAAATTTGTCAAATAGCCTATAAATACTCAGTTTGTGGTAACAGGGTCTCATGTAACCCTATTTTGCTTCTAACTCAACATGGATGCAATAACTCTGAAGCCAGGTGTTGTGGAGCGCACCCTTGACCCTGCCCAGCACTCTAGGAGCAGAGACAGGTAGATCTCTGTGAGTTCCAGGGCAGCCTTGTCTACAGATCAATTTCCAGGGCAGCCTAATATACATAGTAAGGCCCTGTCTCAAAATAAGAGCATGACCCTGCTCCTCCTTCCTCTACTTTCTAAGTTCTGGGATTGCAGGTATGGGCCACTACACCAGGCCCTACCACTGATGATACCAACTTGCAAAACTATTTCTTTTAAGAGATCTTTTTAGTGAAATTTTAATAATAGCAGCTGAATATGGAAAAAACTGAGCCACAAACACATCTGGTCCTTAATTTTGGCATGTTAAAATGTATTTTAATATCATATCTGAATATGTCTGTAAGAGAATATTTTAATTGCTTGGTAGTTTATTTCCTCTATGGTATGAAAAGCTTATTTTTAGGCTCCTTTTAATAAATTATTCTTTCCTCAGAATGAATCTTTAATTTATCGGCAAATCATCCTAAGTTACTGGCATTGACTTTCATTTATGCATACCAAAGTATTTGTGTATTCAAAGTAAATGATATTATTCAGTTTTCTGTGTAATGGAGTTAACTACAGAGACCAGAAGGAACCAAATTATTAAGTAGGTACATGTAATTGATTCTAACTTCCTTCCTCTTTCCCTACATCTCAGTACAGTCATCCTTTTCATCTGTGATATGTCTCAAGCCTTCCAGCGGATGCCTGAGACCACAAATAGTACAAACCCTACAGATACTGTTTTTTTTTTCTACACATGCACAAATGGAATGCCATTTCTATCTCAGCCATATATTATGATTATACATGGTGGTCAGGAATTTTAAAGTTTGAGGTAGAAGAGCAAACCTAGAGCAGTTTTCTTTTTCTTCCTTCAAAACTATGCAGATAGGGCTGGAGAGAGCTCAGTGGGTAAGGTGTGGTGATATTTTGTTTATGACCTAACAAATAAGGCTTGCAGGAAAATCAGAGAGCAAAGCTAGTCATGCTAGTCAGCCAGGCAGTGGTGGCACACACCTTTAATCGCAGCAACCGGGAGACAGAGGCAGATGGATCTCTGTGAGGTCAAGGCCACTCTGGGCTACTGGAGAGTGAATCAGTCTAAAAGAGAAATAGAGCTCACTCCTTTGATCCCCGCACTTGGAATTCCACACCTTTAATCTCAGCACTAGAAGAATATAAGTTGGGAGGAGACAGGAGCTCAGTGCAGTCTGAGCTTTGGTGGAGAGCAGTGCAGTCTGGAGATGCAATCTGAAGACAGGATCGCCCCTTTCATGTGAGCATTGGTAGAGCTGAGAACTCTCTAGTGGCTGTCGCTTTGCTTCTCTGATCTTCAGCTTTAACCTCAATATCTGTCTCTGAGATTTTATAATTAATACCAGTTAGAATTCATGCTACAGTAAGGGTATGAATTCTTCTCCCAAAGGACCTAAATATCCACACTGGGCAGCTTACAACTGCTTTAACTCCAGCTTCAGGGGAACTGACAGCGTCCTTGGTTTGTGCTCAAGCACCCCCCCCACACACACACACACACTCACACACATAACACATACACATAGTTTTAAGAATAACAAAAATTTTAAAAACCAAATAGAGAATTTTCCCATTAATCTTTTTATATATTAATCTTTTTTATAATAAGTCAATACCTTTTGGGGTTGCTGGCCATTTTCTTGTCCTCCAGATCCCACCACCCTTCACAACCCCAAATAAACACACGGACGCTATATTAATTATAAAACTGTTGGCCAAAGGTTAGGGCTTCTTACTGGCTACCTCTGTCTTAATTATTAACCCATAACTACTAATCTATGCATTTATACATGGTCTTATATTACCAGAGAACACCTGGCAAGCCTATCCTTCCAGTCCCTCCATGGCATCTCCTTCTGGTCTCTCTCTGCCTACTTTTCCAGAATTCTCCTCGTCTCCTAGCCCTGCCTATCTTCCTGCCTCCTATCAGCCAAACGGTGTTTTATTCATCAACCAGTAAGAGAAATATATGTACAGAAGGACATCCCCCCATCATTTGCCATTTAACTTAAGGAAGTACTTGACAGCTTCTTTTTGGCTTGTCTAAATAATCGACATTATCACCCTTCTCTTAAGAGCCATCATTAATTATAATATACATCTTTTAAACTCCAACCCTGCCATACCACAGCTCATCTGAAGACTGAGATGGCTAAGTGACTAAAGGATGAATAATGTATATACCATGGACACCCTGAACAAAGAAATGACTCAGAATCTGGACAGAACACAGCAGAACCGAGAGGGATTTCATCAGAGCACATACTTGCAAATTATTTATTCATTTCTGGAACTTTTCATTTAATATTTTTGATGGTGGATATACTAGATGACAGGGAAATAAAACCATGAAAAACAAAATCCAAGAAAAGGAGGAATTACATACACCATGACTTTTATTTCCAAAGCCTAGGAAATCCCTTTTTATTTCCTTTTTCTTTTGTGACGGGGTCTCATGGAATCTCTCCAAACTTGATATGTAACCGAGGGTGACTTTGAACTTCTGATCCACCTGTCCCTCTATCCTAAGTGCTGGTGTTGTTACAGGCTTACACCATCAAGCACACTTTCAAATCATTTTTAAAAAAGAAAAAAAAGAGTATTTTTAATCCAGACATGCTAGCACATGCCATTAATTTCAACACTTGGGAGGTAGAGACAATAAAATGTCTGTGAGTTCCAAGCCAACAGCCAGGGCTGTATACTGAGACCCTGTCTCAAAACTAAAACAAAAGGTTTAGTTGTTACTGGGGGCTAGGGAAAGATGGCTCAGTGATTAAGAGTACTTGCTGCTCTTTTCTTTCTTCAAAAGTGCGTGCGTGTGTGCGTGCGTGCGTGTGTGTGTGTGTGTGTGTGTGTGTACATGAGTTTTTCCAGAAGCCAGAGGTATTGGATCTGCCTGGAGCTCGGTTACAGTGGCTGTAAGCTACCTGTTGTGGGAGCTGGGAATCAAGCTTGGGTTCTCTAGAAGAGCAGCACATGATCTAAACCCCAGAGCCATCTCTCCAGCTCTGCATCTGGTGCTTTTACAGAGGACTGGGGTTCAGTTCCTGGCACCCAGAAGGTGCCTCTAACTATCTGCATCCACTTTCAGGAAATCTGAGTCTCTTGTGGCCTCCTTGGGCACCAGGCACACTTGTGGTGTCCATACAAACATGCAAGCAAAATAGTTATACACATAAAATTAAAATAAGTAGACAGTGGTGGTGCACACATTTAATCCCAGCACTTGGGAAGTAGAAGCAGGCCAATCTCTGTGAGTTCAAGGCCAGCCTGGTCTACAGAGCAAGGGCCAGGAAAACCTCAAAAGCTACACAGAGAAACCCTGTTTCGAAAAACACAAAAATAAATAAATAGATAGGTAGATAGATAGATAGATAGATAGATAGATAGATAGATAGATAATTTTTAAACTTGTGTATATGCGTGTACATGCACATACATCCATGGGTGTAAACACAGATGCACACCTGCCGTGAAACACGTGTGGAAGTCAGAGGACTGCCTCAAACACCAATCATTTGCCTTCCACCTTGTTTGAGAGAGGATCTCCTGATTTGTTTCCACTATATATGCCAGGTTAGATGGCCAGCAAGCTTCCAGAGTTTCTCCAGACTCAGTCTCCTCCCTTCAAGGGTGCTGAGATTATAGATGCATTACTATTTGATTTTCATTGGGCAGTGCTGGCACACACCTTTAATCCCAGCACTGGAAAGGCAGAGGC